TGCTGGCTTCTTTGATGCCCTGGGCACGTGTCCCTCTGGATCCCCAAGTTCCAGAGCTCCTGCCTCTGGCTTTCCAGAGGTTGGCAGCAGAGTCACGGGCGGGGGAGGTGGGGGACTTTGTCAGAGCAGTGTGCATCCTGAGCAACTTGGAAACTTACTGCTGAGGCAGGGACCGCCTGGGAATCCAGGCAGCTGGGAACCCTGGTGGATGAGGTGGGGTCTGGGTACTGGGTAGGGGAAGCTGGGGAGAATGTTCATTCCCTTTTTATTTGACAGCTGACATTTTCCAGAGCTGGTGCCTGCAGGGGAAAGGAAATCAGAGCTTCCCACCTCACACATCTTTTTCCCATTTTGTTCCTGCTGCCCAGAGAAAGCCATTAGGTGTAGGTCAGTCTGGGGCCTTCCTGCAGGCCCGCCCATCTCTAGCCCTGCTGGAAGGAGGGGTGGCTAGGGTCATGGGAAGGACAAGGCCCTAGGCTGGATACTGGGCCCACTCTGAACTTTTCCATCCCTTCTTATCCCTGCTGCTCAGGTGGCAAGATGAGGCGGGGGACCCCCGAATCTGGCCCCCTTGCCCCACCTTTATTCTGATCCTCTGCATCTCTGACTGTATCCAGGGAGTCTGGCCTACTGGCCCCAAAGACTGGCTCTGCTCTGCAGCAGGAAGGGCCTGGGTTGGGGAAGCTGGTCTTTATTACCCAACACCTGGGGCTCCAGCCGCCTCCCTGGAGTCACCAGGACAGCTGGTTTCCAAGGGGCCTTGGCAGCCAGGCTTGGGGTTCAATTCCCTGCAGATGGCTCCTACATTTGGGGGCTTAGGAGAAGAGGGAAACGGAGCCCCAGGAGTCCTGGGAGCCACACCCAAGCTGGCTGGCAGACTGCCCTCCAGAGGCTGCCCGGCAGCCCCTTCTCCCCTCCCTGCCCCAAGGACCTAGAGTTCACATCCTCTTTCTGTCTCGATCCAGAACCTCAAAGCCCGGGGCTGCACGCCTCTCCTTCTCTGCAACTCTGCCCTTCTGCCTTCCCCCTCCTCTCTCCTCTTCAATCCTGAATCTGCTTGTCTGGCCCTGTGCCCACCAGCCGCACCCGCAGCATCTGTTGGTGTGGGAGGTGGGTGGGTGAGGGTCCCCAGACCCCTATCTTCTTTCATTTCCCATCCCAGAGGGTGGGAGAGGGCTTCAGGGAGGTGGCCCGCATTCTCCCGGCCAGCACCTGGGCCACCGTAGCAGGGTGGAGGCTGGGCTGCAGGCTGCTTGCCTTTTCCAGGGAGGGCCACTTTCCCCAGGGCCTCACAAACCCGGGAGCTCAGCTTCACACCTCCTGTCCTGGGCCACCAGGGGTTAAGGAGCCGGTGCAGAGCCTAGGCTGGGAGAGGAGAGGGTCTGATCCTAGGATCCGATCGATCATAAAGCCAGCAGAGTTTAACTGCAGGTCACCGTCTCCATCCAGGGGACTGAGACTCAGTCCGGACATGCTCTCACTAGTGCACCCTCTCCTCCCTCTCCCTCCCTCGGCAGCCAGCGGCCCAGCCCAGCCCTGAGGAGAGCGTTGGCAGCTGGGGCTGGGAACGAGGTGGCAGAGCCAAGAACAACAGAAGTGCGGCCTGGGTGCCCTGCAGACCCTCCTTGGCCGACTCAGACCTCCCACTGCAGTGAGCTTGTCCTCCCAGTCTGTGGCACCCGCTCTCCTGGGCTGGGTGAGCCTTGGAGGTGCTGTCATTCCCGTCATTGCCTCCCTTCTGGTCACTCAGGTTTTTCCCCTGAACACAAACGTTCTCAGAAAGGTGGGGATCTTGTCTCCCAGCCTGTACTGCCCCTGCTAGACGCTCCTCTTGGTCTAACTCCCATCCATGCTGCCACAATGGCAGTTTCCTCTGGGTGAATCAGAGCCTGGCCTTGCCACATTGCAGAAGGGCTGGGTCCCTGAAGCCAGGGAGACAAGCGAGAACGCAGCCCTTCCTGCTGCAGGGAGAGTGGAGGCGGATGCTGGAGTCTGAGGTCTGTACTGAGTGGCATCCGAGGGCGCAGGGTGGCCAGGGGACACAGTCTTACCTAGTGGCTCCCAGCCCCACGTCCTGTCCTGTAGAAGTCCTGCCTCCTTTGCTGGCCTTCTCTGGTGACTGGCAAAGTCCCAGGTGTCCAGCCTCGCCTGGGGTTAATTTCTACCTGAGTCCCAGGAAACCAACCCTAAACACTGAGGGGGTGAGGGAGGCTGTCCACAGTGCTGACCCAGGGGCTTTAGGGCTCTCCCACACTTCCAGCCCCATCCACCTTCCCTCCCCAGGGCTAGACTGGCTGGTCCTCCCAGCCCAGCCTCCAGGCAGTGATGGAGGGGTGGGGCTGTCTCCTTCCAAGCCTCACGCCCTGCAACTGTGCACACCTGGCCCGTCGCACTCACACATCTGGGCACTCACACATCTGGACGCTGTCCCTGCTCATCTCCATTCCCACTGAAGCAAAAGCAGCCGCACCAGGGGACGAAGCCCTAGCTTCCTGCCTAGCCCTCTCAAGCCTGCTCCGTGCCCTTCCTACTCCATCCCTGTTTTGCCTCTGCTCCTCAGCTTTCCTCACCAACTTTGAACCCTCCCCCTACTTGAGTCTCCAGATTCCTGGGGGAGCCCTAACAGGATTATGATCAAGGCCCCTTGAAAGGGGGAAGGGTCGCCCCAGGCAGATCTGCAGCAGATTTGGTCATAATTAAAAGGCCAGCGACACTGGGAAATTCCTTCTCCTCAGTGACCCCAGCGGGAAATTGAAGCCAGTTGCTTGGGAGTAAGCGGCGGATGCTGGAGGCAGCTCCCTCCTCTCCTCCTCTCCTTGCCGTCACCCTTGCCCCTGCCCCTAGGGTCCCTATCCATCTCTCAAAGTCCGCTCTCCCACCCCCCAGTCCCCGGTTCCCTTACCCAGCATCTCCCCTGAGCACTGCCCCACAAGCCTGCTGCTCCTTGGGTACCAGGGTTGCTAGAACCTAGGACCTCTAGCCCCAGCTGGTGGTCAGCACCCTGCTCTAGACCTTCTACCCTCCTCTGTCAGCCAGAGTTGGGGTGCAGGGGCTGGAGCTCAGGCCAGAGCTGCCAAACCACAAACACTCACATCTGGAAAGAATTCCCTCCCAGCCCGACTTCCCTTTGTCTTGCTCCTGTGTCTCTGGAACTCCTGGCCAGTTGGCGGAGGAGTGGGGCAGGCAGGGAAGGTGGTAGGCCCAGGCCCCCAGCCCAGGGAGCCCCTGCCTGGCCTGACTTCAGCCTCCCAGTGTTCTCAGTCTAGCCACCTGCGGGAGCATCGGGGACCAGGCCACTCGGTGAGGGTTGACACCAGGCTCCCCGCGGGGAGGGTGTGCCAGGCCCTTTTCTCCTGCCGGAAGAGTGCCCGCTGAACAGGACAGCCCTGGTGGGGGTTCGAGGGGGCTGGAGCCGGGTGAGATGGACAAAATGACCTCAGTAGAAGCCACAGGGGAGCAGGAGTCTGGTTTTTGCCCTCTCCCTCCTGCAGGCTCCCCTCATCCCTTTGGCTAGGAGCCTGATTTCACTGTCAGAACCTAATCCCTCCCTCTACCTACAGCGGCGCTGAGCGGGAAGCGCAGGGAGGGGCTTGGAGCCCCAGGCCCTAAGGCTCCCCAGGCCCGGCTTCCTTCCTCCTCGACCTGCCACCCTCTTTCTTCCCGAAGCCCACAAATCAGCTTCCCCACACAAAGGCTGGGACCCCTAAAACCAGGCGGAAGGGTTCCTTCCCTTGTTCAAACCCACCACCGCCGAGTGGGCCAGTATGGAAGGCCCTTCCCACAAGGACACCATGCGCCCCAGGTCAGCCGGCTGCCGACACATCCCAACACCCACGCCCCCAGATTTCTCTGGATCGGAGGCCCCACCCCTGCACTGCGAGGCCGAGGAGGACCCTCAGCCCCTCTCCTCCGGGTCCCTTCCTCCCTAGACGTCCCCGGGTCCGGAGGCCGAGGCTGGGGGGGAGCCCGCCCGCTCCGCCTTTGGTCACGCAGGCGAGGGGGTTGCGGGACAGTCTGCGGGGTTTCCATCCCGCCTTAGACAGCGGGGAGGGGTCCCAGGAGGCCCGAGTAAGGGCGGGAAGCCGGTCCCGCCGCGCCCCCGGGCCCCGGCCTGGGTGTCCGCCTATGCTGAGGGCTCCCCTGTCCCTTGCTGTCCTCTGTAGCGGCCCCCGCGCGGGGACGTCGCCCACTCCCACACGGGGCTCGCGGGAGCTGCGCTCCGCCCCTGCTTTGATCTTCCACTTCAAAGCAGCTGTCGGAAGAGGCACCGCTCCTTCTGCCGGGTTACAGCTCAGGCGACACCTGAGACCCCGCTCCGCCCTCCCCGGGCTCCCGCTCGGTCTCCACCGGCCCGGACCCCAGGGGGCGGGGAGAAGGGGCCCCGTGAGGAGCCGCTTCGGGGCCGGCTTGACCTTTGCCCTCCCAGCCCGGCGCGGGCCGCGGCTTAACCCCTCTGTGTCCGCCCGAGAGCGGGGGGTGAGCCTCCTGCGCCCACCTCCAGGGTCCCCAAAGTCGGGGAGCAGTGGGGGGCGCGGAGAGCGCAACCCAGCCTCTCCGGGTCCTTCCAGCAGGGGGTGCCGCCGCCCCACCGAGTGGCCCCGGGGGCATACTGGACCCCGATGTTCCCCGGACGCTTTCAGGGTTCAGAGCTATCCCACTGGATGAAGCCCGAACTCGGCCGTCCGAGGCTTCAGCTCGAGCTCGGGGTTCTTCACCCTTGGCGGTGTCGCCTGCTTAGAAGTTAAACTGGGCGAGGGTGGGGCGTCCCAGGGAAACCAGCGCCTCTCCCGGCGCCTCCCTCGCCCCACCGGCCTCCCCGTCGGCCTCTTGGCGCGAGGGTCGCGGTCTCGGCCCTGGAGAGCCCGCACCCGGCCGAGGCCGGACCTCGAGCCTGGAGGCGGGGCGGAAGGGGGTCGGGGGCGCGGGCCCAGGTGGGGGCGGGCCGTGGGCGTGGCCCTCGCGCCCGGGCCGGCGGCTCAGGGTATAAAGGCGGCGCGGAGCCGGCCTGGCTCGTGGTGGGTTCTGTCGGGCTCCAGAGTGGCACGCAGGCGAGGCGCCCAGTGCTCAGAGGAGGGGTCTAGGGGACTTCGCGCGCGCCTCCAGCATGCCCAACTTCTCCGGCAACTGGAAGATCATTCGGTCGGAAAACTTTGAGGATCTGCTCAAAGTGCTGGGTAAGGAGGCGTTCGGGTCCCCGCGAGGGTGGGGGGCGCTGGACCCTTGGGGGCGGGGAGGGGGGTCCGGGCACCAAGCCTGGGGCGCCCGCATCCTCGGAAAAGGGGCGCCGGCCGACGGACGCCCTGACCCAGCTCCTCCGGCGGGTCGCCCACCGGTGCCAGCTCCGGCGGTGACTCAGCCCGTGAATCAAGCAGAAACCCGAAGCGCGAGGTTGGTCTCGGGAGGGGCTCAGCCACGCGCCTGCACCCGGACCGCGCACCTGGGCCCCGCGGTGGAGAAGCTGCAGGCTGGGAGAGAGCGAACCGGGTGTCCAGGCGGCGAGGCTGAGTGCTCACCCACCGGGCCGGCTCTCCGAGACACTCCGGTCTCCCCCGTACCCCTTCAGTAACCCAATCTCGGGCAGGTTCAGACCCCGGCTCGCGCGGCTCCGCCCCCAGGTGATCCAGCCGCCCAGCACTGCGACCCCTCCTCCTTCCCCCTTCTGCACTTTCCACCCGGTTCTCAGCTCTCGCCCCACCCCCACTCCCATCTGTGAGACAAATATTTTCCTACAGCAAGCAGCTCCAGAGTCCTAAAATCGCTCCGGATAATGATCACTTTCTTGGATTTCAACAAATGGCTTTGTGTGAAACCCCAATTCCCATTTCCAAAAATCTGGGGCTCCACCCCCTCTCTAGGCACTAGTCAGCTGCTGCAGCGGCAGCTGGGTGTGCTAGTCAAAGGTGGGGGAGCTGGATCCACCCAGAGGCCCTTCCAACTTTCCCCGACACAGCTCCTGCCGCCCGCCCGTGGGGTGGGATGGAGTAGGGAGACTGGGGAAGGGGAGAGAGCCAGGGGGAGGTTAGCTCAGGAGCCCAGCAAGTGGGAAGAGACCCGCCCAACCGGAGGGTAGCTGCACTCCTGCGGTGTCCTCTCCAGTCCTTTAAAAAAGGTTTTTTTAGGAGCTGGGGATTTAGCTCAGTGGTTTTGGCGCTTGCCTTGCAAGCGCAAGGTCCCGAGTTCGATCCCCGGTACCAAAAAATTAAAAAAAAATTTTTTTTTTAAATCATGAGCGAGGGTCTCACCGAATTGCCCAGTCTGGGTTTGAACTTTCCATCCTCCGCCTCACCCTCTCAGAGTGGTGGGATCACAGCCATTTGTCACCATGCCTGGTGCTGTGTCAGTCTCTCTTGCTTTGCCCTTGCTGAAGTTAAAGACCAGAGCATAGAGGTTTTCCCTCAGAAACCATAGATGCCACTTCTTCCCTGTCTGCTCTGGATTCTGGCTCTTCTCCCCTGGATGAGGCTGGGGCTTGGCACGCCCCCAGGCCCCAGCTGGAGAATAAGGCCAGGCCCAACCCTGCTGTCTGTTCCCCTGTTTGCCCTCCCTGTGGGGGTCTCTCAGAGCCACGTGCCCTTCTCAGGCCCTGTGGGGAGCAGATTGGAAACAGACCCTTTAGACAAACACTGCCCAAGTCAGCCCAGGTTGACGGCCAGCTCGGGGCTGCTTCCTCTGACCCTTCCCCTTCTCTGGCCCCTCAGGCTCCTCTTATCCGTGTCTGATCCTTCTCAGGTGTTTGGGGGCTATCTTTCCAGCCTGACAGTATGGCCCCCAGAGCAGAGCCTGCTGCTGTAACAGGGATATAGGTGTTAGTGAGCCTGGTCTCCAGGTACCTCCTTGACCAGAAGAGGAAGTAGGGTCCTTGAGCATAAGCAGCAGAGAGAAGTGGGCTGCAAACGAGGTGTGGTGTTCAAATCCCAGCACTCTGGGAGGCTGAGGCAGGAGGATGGCAAGCTCAAACCCATCCTGAGCAACTTAGTGACTTAGAGAGACATTGTCCTCAAAATTTCAAATATAAAAGGGCTGGAAATATAGCTTAGTGTGGAGGCCCTGGATTCAATCCCTAGTACTGAGAAAAAATATATATATTTTATAAATAAATAAATAATATATATATATATTTTTTTATATATATATTTAAAGGTTGTAGGGCCGGGGATTTAGCTCAGTGGTTTCCCGACTGCTGTGCAAGCTCAAGGACCTGAGTTCGATCCCCGGTACAAAAGAAAAGAAAAAAATCCCCTGTACAGAGCTGAGAATTTAGCTCAGTGGTTCCACTGCCTGCCTCCAAGGTCCTGAGTTCGATCCCCAGTACCAAAACAACAAAACAGAAAAAACAAGAGTCAAAAATCCCCTGTATAAACAAGAAGGAGGAGGTAAAGGGGAGAAGAAGAACAAACAGGGCTCTGGGGTCCCAAGAGGCAGGGCTTCCTTACTCCGCTCCCTTCTGCCTGGAATAGTGTGGACCAGGCGTGGTGGTGAGGGAAAGACTGTTTCTCCAGAAACCCAAGTCTGGAGGAGCCAGGGTTTGGCCCGCACTGCTTGTCGCCTCTATCACCTCCACCACCAGGCAGCCTGGGGTGGGCTGCGGTGCCCAAGTGCCCCCAGCTGGCTTGGCCTCCTGTGCCCCGTCTGCCTCCCTGTGTCATACCTGGAGAGCAGAGGAGAGGGCTCATCTGGAGCAGGCCCCAGGGGCAAGACTGAGGCAGTGGGGACCCTAGGAAGGCTGGGGAGGGGGCAGTGTCCCTTTCTGTCCCCTCTTCTCCGCCCAGGAGGGAGTTGAAGAAACTATGACTTCCACTTTTTTTTTTTTTGGTACCGGGGATTGAACTTGGGTCCTTGCGCTTGTGCAGCAGGCGCTGTTACTTCCACTTCACTGTGGAGAGATCTAAGGCTCGGAGAGGTTAAGCCATGTGCTCAGCCTGCCCGCCACCCAGCCGGAAAGGAGGCCAGGCAGAGGGAATCACAGATCCCGCTCCAGAGCCTCACCCTCAGCCTCGCAGGCCGCTGGCCGCCCTCTTCCTTTGTGGACAGCCCCTGCTCCTTGTGTGGCGGAGGGACAGAGACTGGGGAGATGAAGGCCTGCCTAGCACCATACAGGGTGGGTAGCTGGGGCAGAGGGAGGTGGCCCCACTTCCCAGGTCCTTGCACTGGAACACAGCAGAAGCACCGGGGACTCCGGTGAGTGCACCAGAAGACAGAGTCTCCAGCCAGGGTGGGCAGAGCCACGTGAGCTCAGCAGGATGCATGCTGGGGAGGGGGCTCTGGAGGAGCTGCCCCTGAGGATTCTGGGAGTGAGGAACTGGGACTCCGGAGCCCAGCCCAGGTCTGCTGACTGGACACAGCAGGACTCCCAGAAGGGTCTGCCCTGGCAGTCTCGGGGCAGGCAGAGTGAGCAGGCACCCTTCCCTTCTTCTTGCAGGCGTGAACATGATGTTGAGGAAGATCGCTGTGGCCGCTGCATCCAAGCCAGCAGTGGAGATCAAACAGGAAGGAGATACTTTCTACATCAAAACCTCCACCACGGTGCGAACCACGGAGATCAACTTCAAGGTTGGGGAGGAGTTTGAGGAGCAGACTGTGGATGGGAGACCCTGCAAGGTGAGTGGCAGGAAGGGGCCTGGAGGTCCTGAGTCCACTGCCAGTCTTTCCTAGATGCTCCTCTCCATTCTCCACAGAGAGGGCCCTCGGGAAGGGGCAGGCTCCCGGGGGGATCAGTCCCTTACCCCTTCACTGTACGGCTCTCTGATGGGCACAGCTCACTTGGCCACCTGTCCTTTGCAGAGCCTGGTGAAATGGGAGAGTGAGAACAAAATGGTCTGCGAGCAGAGGCTTCTGAAGGGAGAGGGCCCCAAGACCTCCTGGACCAGAGAACTGACCAATGATGGAGAGCTGATCCTGGTGAGTCTCACTTCTTCCCAACTACGAGTGATCCTGGGGCCACCTTTGGGGACTCTTGGGAGGCTCCAGGGTGTAAGAGGTTCAGCAACCAATAGGCTGGTCTCTGCGCCCTCCAGGTGGGGCTGCATCTGTATCACTGCAGTGTGGCTGGAAATCCGCTCTTTTGTGTGGATCTGCAGCTCTCCGGGGGTGTCGCGGCCTGGGAGGGTGATGGGCCCTACCCGATTGCCCAGTGTGCCCAGGCATTTGGGAGCAGCTCCTCCCTGTCTGTTGGTCCTGATCCAGCAGGCAGCTTTGGACCTAGGGCCAAGCAGAGCACCTCCATTGGGCCCTTCTCCAAAGCCATGGGAGCCCAGGGCAACAATGACTTCTGTCTTTCCAGACCATGACGGCGGATGATGTGGTGTGTACCAGGGTCTATATCCGAGAGTGAGTGGCTGGAGCCCAGGAGCTGCCCGAGCCTGCCACTGCCTTGGCTTCCTGGCCACAGGCTGCCACCCTCTGCCCACCCCTCCTAGGTAGCTCTCTCCTTACCCCATCACTTCTGAGGGCTGCCCGGATGCCTCTTGCAGGGTCTTTGACCCCTTCTTCTCCCCCATACCAACAAAGAGGTCTGGAGTGCAGGAGCCCAGGAGCCCAGGTCCCCTTCCAGCAACCCCACCCCCACCCCCGCTCCCCAAGCCAGCAGTCCCAGCCTGACACCAGCCCCGGCAGACCCTCTTTCCATGAAGGGACCCGAGATCTGTGTGAGAAAGACTGCCTCCCTGGCTGCCACTTTCCGTCCCTGTAGATTTTGCAGTTTAGAATATTTATTTGTTAATTTTATTAAAATGTTTAAAAAGTTAAAACCTGTTTCTGGCTCTTTGGCAGTGACAGATAAATCACCTGAGCTTGGCCTTGCTTGAAATGTAGGGTGAAATTCCTGTCACCCCCTCTAATGAACCCACTAGTGATGCCCCCGCAGCGTCTCCTCCTGGCCTGGTCCCCTGTGCTGATGTCTGGGTCTGCAGGGCCAGCTCCTCCTCCTGAGCACTCAGCAGGGGCCTGGGTGTGAGGGAGACTCGCCCTTCTCCGTGGTGCTGAGGTGATGACTCACCCTGCCCTCCTGTGGGTGACCCTTCTCTCCTCTGGGCCACCTCCGGGCCTCACCTTGGCCTCCTACAGGGTCCTGCATGAGCTCCTCACCCACACCCATGAGCTGGCCTTGCCCCTAGCCAGGTCTCTCAGTATGAGGTCTTGTGCTGCTTGTCTGCCCTGACTGGGAAAACCTATCTGCCACTGTCCCTTGTCCCCGCCCTGAAATCTCCCTCACACCCTTTTTGCCCCTGGCTTCTAGACCTTGCAGGCCCCTCGGGTCCTCAGCCACCCTCCCTGAGCCTCCACACTCATCTTCCGAACTCCACGGTGGAGTCAAATTCTCCCGTGAGCCACTGGGCCATAGCAAGGCTGCTCAGTGCCCCCTGGTTCTCCCATTTCTAGTCACCAGTTGAGTGACCTAGGCTAAATTACTTGGCTTCTTCTTTTAAGATACAAAATACTATAACAGAATGGTTTAGATGCAAGGAGATTCTAGCTGGGCCAAGATACAGGTGTGGCTGCATCCAGAGCCTCTTAGTTATCAACCACCTTGTCCCTACAGTTCTTTCTTTTGTGCATTGGCCATGTTCACCCTGTCACATGCTCTCCACAGTATGGGACATCAGCTTCAGATGCCACAAACTTACAAAGTAATAGCTTAACTTCCAAAAAGAAAAGCGATTCTCTCCCTATCTACAACATGCCAAGACTTAGCTGAGTTCTGCTTGGGTCACGTGACTGTCCCTTGGACTAACCGTTTGCATGGCCATGGACGCAAGGGTGACCAGGCCTGGGCCCCATGGACAAGGAACATGGAGGCCACTTCAGTGATTTCTCCAAAATCCAAGGGATAGGAAGGAACAAATTCCCAATAAGGAAGGTCTCTGAATCTCAGGTTTTTAATCTATGAGTAACAGTTGTAAATAAGATCCCACAAAATTATTGTAAGAATTAAGTAAACACATAGCACTTAGCAATGGAGGCCATCAAAAAAGGTGCTTCACAGTTTGTAATAGCTAAAGCTTGGAAACAGCCCAAGTGCCCATCAACTGGAAATTGGATAAAGAGGATGTGGTGTTTTTATAAAATGAAGTACTACTCAGCCATAAAGAATGAGAAACTAGAGACATTTATAGCTAAATGGATGCACATTGAGGTCATACTCTTAAGTGAAATAAATAGGACACGCATGTGTAAATACCGAATAGTTTCTCTGTGAGAAACTGAAAGTGTAAATAAGGACTAAAAGGATTAATAACAAATAATTGATAATTTGAAATAGGAAAAGGTCCAAAGGGGTAGGGGTGGTGGGAGGAGATGGGGAATGGAAAGAAGGGAAAGGGAAAATTATGAGAAAAGAAAAAAAAATGGAAATGAAATCTATGTAAATAGGGAAGGGTGGAGGGGGTGAAGGGTGCACAGGTAATGGGGGAAAAAATAAGAACCAAGATGCATCATGTACAGGTACAAGCACCCAGTGAGAAATGTAAACGTATTGTATACCTAAAATGGACCAATAAAAGAATTTAAGCAAAAAAAAAAAAAAGTGCTTCAGCCAGGCATGGGGGTGCAAGTCTGTAGTCCCATCTGCTGCGAAGCTTGAGGCAGGAGGGTCACAAGTCCAGGGACAGCCTGGGCAACCTAGTGACTTAGGGAGGCCCTGTCTCAGAATAAAAATACAAAGAAGATCATAGATGTGGCTCAGTGTGAAGCCCCTGAGTTTGATCCCCAGCACCCAGAAGATACATAAACAAAGAAACAAAAAGCACAAGATTTCACCTTAGCTATCTCTTTAAGAACACAATAAATGGGGCTGGGGATTTAGCTCAGTGGTTTTGCCGCCTGCTGCGCAAGCGCAAGGACCCGAGTTTGATCCCCGGTACCAAAAAAAAAAAAAAAGAACACAGTAAAGGTCACACTGGTGCTACAGTGCCTTTGCACCTGCATAGCCCAGAGTGCTCTCCCTGGTCGGTGCTGACAGCCTTCTCGCCTCATGGCCTCTGTCAGCAGGTCAGGCTCTTCTCCCTGCAAGACGGACCAGGGTGCTGGGGGCCAGGGCCCCGGCTTCCGCCCACCAGGAGTCACACACGGCAGAGGGGCAGGGCTAGAGAGGGTGATAGTGTCCAGGGCCTGTGGAAGGTGAGTGTGGGATGGGAAGATGAAAGGCCCTCGCTGTGTTTCCCAAGAGTCTCCTGGGCGTTGGCCACACTGCAGTCCTGGGCACGTGGTGGACATGAACTCGAGGCACCTGTGTTGTGGGTGGAGGACCGGCCTTTAGCAGGGAAAGATGGGGAATTTAAAAATAAGGAGCAACAGGGCTGAGGATTTAGCTCAGTGGTTCTGGCGCCTGGCTCGCAAGCACAAGGACCCAAGTTCAATACCTGGTACCCCCCAAAAAGAAAGGCACAGAGAAGAGGCCCCTCTTTTTCCCAGGAGGTCCCTGAGGGCAGGAGTTGGTCACCCTGAGACCACTGTTCCTTGCTTCCTGTGCCTGGGCTCTGCTTCTCCTGCTGCCAGCCTGGATGACAGGGAGGTGATGGTCATGGACGGGGTCAGCGAGGGCCCACCTCACCCTGGTGGCCCAACAGAAAACCCCCTGGCGCTCCTCTTCCGGTACCTGAATCTTCTGGAATTGTCGGTTTGTTTCTGGAGAAAATGCTAGAAGCTCCCACCCTCTACCTGTGCTCCTCAAATTCTCGTGAGATCCTTCTCTGAAAGAACAGATGCTTCTCTTCAACCCAAACTTCCCGGAGCCCAGCCCCATGAGAGGCTGGAAGGACAAGAATCAGGGCGCTCCAGGGGTGGTAGGGCAGACCAGGAGGGGCTTGGGAGAGGTGGTCTCCCGGGCTGGGAGCTGACCTGGCGGGGGACACTGCGACACTGCGGGAGACTGCCCCATGTCTTGGGGAGACTGGGGAAACTGGGGCACATACAGGCTCTCTTCTGTCTCAGCCCCGAGAGACAGCTGCACAGAGCTGAGAGAAAGGCCCATCAATGTGACAACCCAGGAATTCCAGCCCAGTGGGCCTCGGGAGCCCCAGTGCCAGACCCTGACTCTGGGAGCCAGCCAGGAGAGAAACAGCCAGAGATGAAGGATCGGAAGCCTCAGCAGAGGACGCAGCAGGAAGCAGGGCTGCTGGGAGAAGAGGAGAGGCCAGGGTTGGGAGAGGGAGACTCAGGAGAAAGCCTGGGAGCTCCAGACTGGGGGCCGGAGACGCTCAGGAGGGGCAGGGTCAGAGGAGAGGGGGGCGGGAGGAGCCAGCCAGGCCTCTGACCCCTTCCTGACAAAGGACCGCCTCGGGCTGGGGATGAGGCGGCTGGCCTTTTGTCCCAGGGGATGAAAGGGAGCTGCCCTGCGTCCCTCAAGCCCCCTGCTCCCCTGGCCTCCCCGAGGTGACCTCAGGAGCCTGCAGGGCGTGGGGCGGGGAGGGTGGTTGCAGAAGGGCCGAGTCCAACCAGGTATTTCTCCTGGGCAGCGAGGGCAGGCGGGTCCTCCACACAAGAGCAAATCCACAGGTGATCCTCACGGGCAGGTGTGGCACAGCCCAAGGGCTGAGAAAGTTCCAGTGACCCTCAGGGCCTCGCCGGGGCTTCCCGCCCATCTGCTGGGACGGCACTGCCCTCCTGACCTTTTGGCTTCCTCCTGCCCTGTCCCCCTTGGCGCTGCCAGTCGAGAAACCTGTTCTGTTCCTGCCCTGGATAAGGATCTCTGGGCTGGGCCCTTCCCAGGCCACAGCAGAAACCTGGCAGCCATAGCACCCCACCCCTGCCAGGTCTCCCCAGGCTGGCCAGGACTGCAGGGCCCTCTCCTTCCCCAGCCTCTCCAACGCCAGCACCAGGCTGGGTCTCCCTGCCTTGGTGTCCCTGTCCTGACTCGGAGCCCCCACCCTCTTCGTGCCTCCTGTGCCCCCTCCTTGCTAGAGAGCCTGGCCTGAGGCAGGGGCCCCCTGGGTTTCTCCTTGGTGTCCAGAGCCAGGGGCCCCTCCGGTGCCCCCCTCTCCCACAGCGCTGGCCCCTTCCCTGCCCGCTCCCCACAGCCCTCTGCCGTCATCACTCTCCCAGCAGGGCGGCCCTGGAGAGGCCTGGAGGACAGGGTGACCCCACTTAACCCCAGCCCGCTCTCCTGCTCAGCCATCTCTCTTCTCTGTGACCTTTTGCCCTCCTTTCTCACCCTTGGCTGGCAGCTCCCTCCTCCGAGGAGGCGAGGAGGCGAGGGCCTTTATCTTTTTTTGTTGTTGTTGTTTGATACTGGGGATTGAACTCTCAAACTCAAACTTGTGCTTTCAAGGCAGGTGAAGGAACCACTGAGCTAACTCCCCGGCCCTGCAAGGGCCTTTAAAGCTCCTCTCCAGAGCCCGCCTGACCCCTGAAACCTTGGGCCACTCCTTGTTCCTGTCCTATCCCACCAAATGGTCAGCTCCCCCAGCACCCAGCCCCTGGAAGGGGGAGTGTGGATCCCCGGGCAGAGAGGCGGAGGTGCTGGAAGCCATCTGGGGCCATGGGTCTAGGTGCATCCCAGGCTCTCACACCCTCCGCCCTGCTAGGTGAGAGGTGTGTCAGCCAGGCTGGGGCTCAGCCGGTGACTCAGGCTGACAGAAGCGCTGTCCTGGCAAGGAACCCTCCCTTTTGCCACCCAAGGTGTAATCTTAGAAGCTGGGAATTCTAGAACCAGAGAGCAGACTCCAGAAGGAAGGGACCTCAGGGACTGGGCCACTCTTTGCCTGAGAGGAAACCAAACTAAATGAGAACCCCAAAGAGGCTTGGGCAGCTG